CTTTTTATTTTCCACTTCTTTCTGAAGCTTTATATTAATACCTGTTTGGATTTATTTTGGTTCTCATCCCCGTTTGAGCCAATGAAATGAATGATATTTGACAGATTATGATCTCCAAATAAACCAAAGTACGTCAACTTTGGTTTATTTGCAAATTAACTTTGGTTTATTTAACGGTTTTGTTTAATGGAGCGACATAACCATAGTTTTTTAGTGTAGACAAAGATCAAAGTATAGAACATTTGTTCACAGAGTGTATTAAACATCCCCAGATATATAAACTGACACGCACAAAATATCTAGCAGCAGAGGAAACCATTATGTTGAAAAACCGTCAAAAGTAAAACAACCAAACTGATCAAATGTAGTACAGACTCCTTGGAAAATTTCAAATGAGATATTTAACATCAGTCAGCAATAAGGTACATCCACATTCCCTTACATTGTGGAAGCCCCCTGCCCCATGACAATGGAAGACTCATTTCCAGTGCGCTGCCCCCACCTCATGCCTCCCTGGACGATGAGCCACATCCCAATTATAAATGGTGTGAGGCATGCCCTGTCTCACCCCATCTAAAACCACCAGTTATTTGTGGAAAGTCTTTTCCCAGTCACCTTTATCTTTATCATTCACCCCTTCACCTCTCCATGCCACCATTTGGTCCTCTGACCTCGCCGACGTTGCAAAAGCTGAGGGAGTGACAGGGCCAATCTGAGCTGTGCCAAGTTATACTATTCAAAGTACATGATACGGAACCATCCAATATTACTGCAGAGCATATCAGTTAGTCTGGGAGCCCGCTCCAGAAACAGGGACCACACACTCTTTATTAGAGCCAGTAAAACGTCCCAGAGATGTGGCTGGACTCTGCTTTCTGCTTAGCTAACATGAACAATAGTAGGATTGTGCAGCTCCGCTCGCTTTCTTTTTGTAGGTCCTATTATTTTTTTCGAGCATTTGTTATTCTCACTTAAACTACAGACTGGCTCCACGAGTGGGCCACGGCGTCTCCGAACCGAGCCCTGCTCGGGCCAGGAAAAACCCGGTGGAGCCAGACGAATAAAAAGCCAAAGCGCCGACGCCGCACGGCTCCCAAATCTGGTTCCTGTCAGGGGGACATCAAGGGAACACCCGCAACGCAATCTCTCCAAACGTTTCCCTCTTCTTTTTTTTTTTTTCCCCTCGCATCTCTCTCCACCCTTCAAGCGATACGTCTTACAGATGACTGAACCATCGCCAAATGCTCCCAGAATCCTTATTCTGCTTCTCCCCCCTCCATCTTCCATCTCTCTCTCTATTTTTTTTCTTCTTCTTCCTTTCTTTCTTTCCCCCACCGTCTTATGTCTCCACGTTTGGAGCCAGCCCACATGGATTGGGATCAATTTAGGGTGAAATGATAATTACCCTGTCACTTTCAATTCCTACGTGATGAAGTGAGAAACAGGAAATATAATAAGCACAAATGGAATCTCACGCGCTTATGATTCGGGGAGGAATCGTATCTGGGCTCCACGGACTCGGCCCGACTGTCAGTCGCGCGCTGTTCCTGCTGGGAGGCGGCTACGTGCTCATGCCCCGACTCACACCAAACTGCTTGTTAAAGCATTTCGCTCTGGATAATTGCAAAATTCCAGACTGTACGCTGCTTTGTTTGGAACTTCATCCATGAGAAATGATTTGTGTCACAGGCTTCCAGAGGAAAACTCAGGAGCTCTCTCTTTTTGTGTGTGTGTGTGTGTGTGTTTTTTTCCCCCTCTTCCATCCAAAATCTTCGACACACATTTGGCTGAATTTGATTCAGCCCCTTTTTAACTCAAGCAGCTCTAATATGTTTGGTGTTAGCAGATCAGAGATAAGAGCCGGGCTAACGGTAGCCGGCTCTAACCCTGCCATGTCGGCTGTTCCTCAGCTGATGTATGGATGTGATTCCTGGCGGGGCCACGGTGCGCCGCCTGGATTTGTTTAACCCAGTGGATCAGCCTTCAGACGGGAGCACGTGCGCAGGTAATGGCTGCCATATGAGGCCAGGCCTCGCAGATGAGCTCACATGTGAAACCTAAAAAAAAAAAAACAGCCCTCCCAAAAAATACATTAATTAAATAAACTCTGGTGATCCAACAACAAAATGTGCAAACAAAAAAAAAGTCAATATTCTAAACCATGCTTCCACCAGTGGTTCACTCAGAGGTTAAAGTTTTGAATTGCAAAAATATTTGATTTAAGCATGGACTAATTCGGGGCTCTGCTTGCTGACGTGATGCCAGAGTGGCTGTGAGGGATCTGCCCCAGTCAGATGTGAACCGTCCAGCGCAGGGCAAAAGGCGAAGTTTGCTGGGCGGCGTCTGGATGTTGGTCTGGAAGTGACGACCCGACGGACTGACCGGTCGGCCGCAGTCTAACAGGACAAACGGGCCCCTGTAACTGACGGTGCGCTGGAACTAATGGGACTTTCCGCCATGCATAATCATCCACAACGCAAACAAATATCTTCCAAAGATTAAACACAGCGGGGGCATCTTTGGCTTTTGCCACGACCACCCAAGAGGTCACAGCGGCTCCCGGTGACGAAGTTCGCAGACGACCACTCGAGTAAAAATACCCAAACAGCATCTTCTTTCTTTTAAACTGGTAACTTGTTGAAAACGAACACGAGAGCATGAGAGCCTGATTGTGTTGGAAACAGGCAGAGCAAATCAAAAATGGGTCATTTGATTAAAAATGGCCTCCAGGATGTTGTTTCCACAGGTTTCCAGTGACCAATGCTGCTGACTGGTCACAGCAGGTGTGAGCTCTTTCAAATTCGGCTGTAACCTGTGCGACTGAAGACTTTAAGAGAAGTTTTTCTTTCTAAATCACATGGATGAGTGAAGGAGGGAGGGACTAAAATTTAAAATCAGTTCTCATCCGGTTGGAGTCACTTGACTCCAAAATTTGGCAGACTGTGACTCCCTATCAAACTATAATAATTTCAAATGAGCTCCTCCAATCAAAAGCCATATGTATGCGAGCAGAGAAAATGAGTTTTTACGTGTCTTTTTGTGTCCGTTGTGTCACCCCCAACACCTGCATTGTGTTTTTAAGAATAAAATTCTGATAAAACAACAAAAAAAAAAAAACATGTTAAAACTTAAACTTGTTATTGTTTTTAACTTTATGATATTTTGTCTTATTAGTATGCGGACTTCAATTCCAGACTTGGCATCATCAACACATCTACAGCAAACTCCTAAAGTTCTGCTTTGGTGTGACCCCCCCACAGAGCCCCCCACCCCCTTTCCCGGCACCCGCCCCTCACAAAACTTCCTACTGGCGCCCCTGTTGAGCTCTGAATGTTTTGGTGATTTAAAATGTCTAATTTTAGTCTCTTATTTCATCTGTTTTACAATATGGCTCACTGGGGCAAGTTCGGCATAAGTTTTTCCCCCACCATCATGTTCTAAACTGAGCAGCGTGGCTGTAAATTAAATTGTTCCCCTCTCCGTACAGACAGAAAACTTCGCTTGTCGGTTTTCCAGGAGGGAGCTCGGAAAGGGCGAAGGGGCACTGTCTCGCAGGGCAATTATTAGAGGGTGAACTCGATAAATCAAAGCAGCTGTTAGGCAGACCATCTTTCCTCTTCAACGCGGCGATTAAATATCCATGGGAAACGCAGCTCGGAAAACACGGTCGAACAGCAGGACAGGGGGAAGGCGTGAGGAAAAACTGTGGCGGCTCTGTCTCGCGGGGCTAATTTCACCGGTAATAAAAGAAGCGAACAGTGTTGCTGATATTTCAGTTTGACCTTTTTCGGTGCGAGCGGCTATCAGGGAACATCCGCCAGGGAGCTTCGCGGCCTGATTTATGACGGCGGCCCACGAAGCGGCGGCCACAGGAGCAGCGAAACACACCCCGGGGGGTTGATAACAACGCTTCGCGGTGAAAAGGCCGCAGCTACCAGCAGCTACCCTTCACAGAAAGAGGAGAGCCCACTCCGAGCCGAAACCGGTGCACCTGGACCCTTGCTCTGCCTCGCCAGCTCTCTTTCCTGTTCCTGTTTCCTGTTATGACGTGTAATTTGAATTACTTCTCTCTCTCTCTCTGGCGTTTCAGCTCCAGAGCAGGTAAAACAAGTCGTTCGAGCATTGAAGCCACCTGGGACAACAGGTTGAGCAAAGCACAGGGGAGTTGGTGCTCTGGAATATGTCTGCGGACAAATTAGTCTGCCTATACTGATTACTGCGGCCAGCACCCCCACCCCCCCAACCCAGGCAAACACAGCCTCCTCCGTGTGACAGCGTTGCAAAGAAAAACACTTGTCAGCTTACATTATGTTGTGACATTCTGTTTTCGTTTCTTATGACGAAGCAGTGGCACGAGGGGGTAAGCGAGTAGAGGAATTGTGCAACATATTTAAAAAATATTTGCCATTCAAACTGTACGCGGGGGAAAAGTATTTTAAAAGTTAAATTGAGCAATGATCTAAAACATTTTTAAAAACGTACACTATTTTTCACTACTGATGTGACAAAATAAGTAAGATGTAATTTACTTTTGTTTAATTTTGATGGGGCTTGGGTTTAAAAAAATAATTTTAGAGTGTTACTTCTTGCAGTCACTTTTTTTTAACCAACTTATCAACAATACAAGAGTTTTAATACTGATGCTTAAAATTTTATTTAATGCTTTTTGAAGGAATATATGGGGATAAAAGGTCTTAAAATAAACATATTTTATTGCTGAATAATAATAATAATAATAATAATAATAATAATAATAATAATAATAGCTTCCACAAAAACAAAAAAAAGCCACAAGACTAATCCAATCTTATATTTTTTTAGGTTGTGCTTATAAATTTTATTAATATGTGCCTTCATATTTCCCTTTGTTGTAAAACCATATAAGTGGAGTCAGAGGCCCATTTCTGCTAGACACTCTTCAAAATGGGCAAGACAAGAGTAGTATTACCTCACTGGCAATACAGTGAGGTAAAAAAAAAAAAAAAAAACTCCAAAGCTTCTGTTGCAAATATTTCTGTGTTAAATTAGGCTGCAGCAAATGAAATTAAAATGAAACAATTCTTCTGAAGCATTTTTACAGCTCTGCAATAGGGGTAAAAATATATGCGAAGGTCACTGTTTATACCTTATTGTATTACACAGTCGCCGTCCATTGGCAATCATGATCATGGATTTCATATTCCATTATATTCATGGAATATCTGTGCTTAATCCAAACAGTGAATCGTAGGTTGTGAGACTTTTTCCATCACCATGGAATCACTCACTCAGGCCCTTCTGATGTCAATTTCTCACACGCTTGAACACTGGGTGGCACTGGAGCCAAGACCAGCAACACACCAGCAGACAGTGAAAGAAACTGGAGTTGCCAGTCTAGCTGTCGGTCCTCTCTCTTCCTCTCTCTTCCTCTCTCTCTCCTTTCTTTCTTTCTCTCTCTCAACGTCCTCCTGCATCAGCAGAACACAGAACTCTGTACCGGGCAATATTCAGGCATAAAACAAAAAATATGAAACTCAGTTTCTATGATCTTAGACCGAGGTAAACATTTTAAAAAATGTGGACTTGACCCCCTCCGCCTCCCACTCCGGAAATCTGACTCACATTTCAGCACCGGCGCACGTTATAATTATTCTGACCACTCTGTTCCTTCTCTCTTCGTTTTCTCGTCCTTATCCTCCTCATTTCCTGCCGCCCCTGTAGGACAGAAATAGATGGGAAGATTCCTGTAGACATTGAGCACACACAAAGTACTCTCACTATAAGCGCATGAAACTTGCTCTCTTGATTCAAAGTCTCACAATACATCTGGAGCTTTGTGTCTGCTTGCTTTTGAGCAATGTGTACTGCAGGCGTTTGCCTTCGTATCTGGTTCTGGGTTCCTAAAAAAACAACAACAAAAAAAAAGGCTGCTTATTATTGAATGGACTCTGTTAAGTTTCAGGAGGACACCTATTAGGAGGTTAGCCAAACACTATCAGCTAATACGACCTGTAATTACACCAGCAGTGAGGAAATGCAGCGAGCTAACACCAGCATGGAAACAATCTGACAGTGCAAACACCGCAGCTAAGCCACTTCATCTCTGTGTGTGCATTTGTAAAAGTGTGTGTGTGTGTGTGTGTGTGGACAGAGGCCTCCTTGCACAGATTGTGGCTGTGCGAATTGTCAAATTGGAGTGGATGTTTGGGTGTGGAGGGAGCACATCTGGAGGGAATTTATTGTATAATTCAGTCTATTATTGCTGCGGTCGGTGCTTAAGGAGCACGTACACAATTACCGTCCACTCTGCAAGGCTACAAGTGGCCTCTGGCCTAAACTAATAAACTGCGGACGAGGGTGGAGAGAGGAGAATTCATTTGAGGTTATCATCATCGCACTCCTCTCTGCTACCTCTCAGTCTTGACACTTACCAGGGTTTATTATAAATCAATGAGCAGCACTTAAAGCTAAAGCCCAGATTGTGGTCAGATTTGACGGGGATCTGGTTTTTAAAGATTTGCATTAGATACAGACTGAGACAAAACAACTCACTTAAATTTTAAAGTTTGACGTATTGAATTATGTTTTCTAATGTCCGTCTTATCCAATGCTGCTTTTTAGTGTGTGTGTGTGTGTGTGTGTGTGTGCGTGTGTGTACTTTATTGTGAATTATGTCAGAAGACACAATTTCTAGGTTTTGGTATCCACTACTTAGACGCACCCAGCACTCGCATGTGAAATATTAGCAGAGAGATTATTTTAAAAAATACTGGTAATGAAACAATATCCCACGCCATGAAATCACACAACAGCAAAATCGCGATGCTTGTGCCGACATATTATACCGCACCGTACCGCAGCTCCGTCAAAAAGCGACTGGTGGCAAACTCTCGCGGTGTTTTCCGACTTTACCGTACAGTCTGACATAATTGTTGTAACAGTTGTTCTTCTCAATGAGCAACGGGTGTGGTTCCGTCCTCCACGTTTTGTTGGTGAGGAGTTAGCAATGACTTGCTAACAGCTATCCGGTTGCTTTTTCGCATGTTAAAGTGAAAAAAAAAGGCAACTGCTTGTCAAGCAACGCCCAACATGTAGGTAGGTGGAAGTGAGAACCACGCAACTGGAAACTGTGAGCTGCTAGCGAGGCTAAAGGTTGCTTCACAGCTTTCTGGAAATAAAATTCACCCGGAAACAAAAGCATTCTCAGTTTTTCCAAAAACACCAAGGCTTTTGCCACGTGCGAATGTCGCGGTGAGGGAGTCATCCCCTCATTAACATCTGCTGTCATTATTTACCGTCTTTACATCACGTTTATCTTGCTTACGAAGGTTTTACTTTCTGATTGACCTACCTTGATTGACCTACCTTGAGAATGGCTCGAACCTCGTTGATCCGTCTGTGAGTCCAAGAAGCTCCCCTCATCACTCCCCTGCTCTATGATGTCATCGTTGCCATGGAAGAGGAACTGGTGTGTTCAGTCAGCCTCAATCTGAATAAAGAAGCACTGACTAGGAGGTGTGACGACCTGGACTGTACACATTTTCTGTTTGTTGTTTGCTTTTGAAGTCGAATTCTTCAAGGGAGTTTATAGGACATAAATAATATCATTGTCTCAGTGGGTTCTTGGAAAAAAAAAGAAAAAAAAAAGTGAGTACATTAAGTAGGTGCATGAGCAGGAGAACTGTATTGGTTTATGAGGTGACGGCTTTTCATATACATTAACTCGTGCCATGAAAGAGTCCAAAGTTAAACCCACTTCGTCTTTTCCATTTCAGCAGGCCTCCCGGAATAGACTGGTGAGGCGTTCGGGTTAAAGACTTTACCAGGGGGGGAAAAATCTGTCCAGGCCAGCCTGGACTCTATCTGACTGTGGCAACCCCGAATGACCCACGGTATGCGTGTGTGTGAGTGTGTGTGTGTGAGGGAGTGATTTTGGAGCTGCCGGCAGTGTTGGCGAGGAGCTCGTAACCCAGAACAATAAAGTGCCTCTCCTCCAGGCCTCCCAGCGGTGATCTCCGCCAGAAGTGAAAGGTTCAACTCGCTGCACGTGTCAGAGTTTTGACCTTTCACCCTCGGAGGCTGTTTGTCTCTCGCTCGTTTTTTCTGCCTCCTCTTTCTGGCCCTGCGCGCTCACAGTCTGGAATGTTATTTCTTTCTGTTCATGTTCGTTATTAATGATGAGTTCAGTTAAATTGTTTTGATATTTTATTGCTGATTCTTGGACTTAGTGACCAAGTGATTGAGCAGTTTATTTATTTCTTAAAGTAATAGTGCACACAATAACAACCCATAATTTCTCTAGATTGAATAAGCAAAGTAGAGTAAGGCTATACATAAACTCTATTTAGACAAAAGTTAACGATAAGATAATGCAATTAAGATGAATAAAAGCCTCAAAAAAAGTCAAATGAAAAGTCCATATTATATTTCCTTTGATTTAGTATGAATTAACCAACATTTTTCTATTTTTTTTAATATGTGATTTGGCTGTAGTAATATTAAACACTTGTTTCTGGTGGATTATTTCCATTTGAAGTGTTATGAAACCGTTGGACGGACTGAAAAGAAGACGCTTTCTCAAGATTACCAAAGACAAGGTTTGGATTTTTGCCATCAAAGACAAAAAAAAAATACCAAAAAAACGGCAGTTGTTATAGTTTCCGCACGAAAACAAAACGGCAGGAGTAATTTTATATATTTTTGTTGGGGTGCGGGGAGTCACATTTAAAAAACAAAAACAAAACAAATCAGATATTACAATCAGTGCCAGTCCTTTCTAAATATATGAATAATTCCAGGATCAACAGCTGAAATTGGAGTCTGGGTCGAAAAAATCGCAATCAGATGTGAGTGGGCGCCTGTTTGAGTTAAAAACACAGATCTATCTGTTTTACACTGAGCTTTGTAGAAGTGTAACGTAAACCAGAGAGATTTATGTGGGCTTCAAACGGAGTTGTTTACGCATATTTGGCTGCAGAAGATCGCCAAACCATTTCTACTGAGTTTCGGGCTCCACAAATCCATACGCAGACAGACATAAACAGAAGGAATCCTAGACCACTGTTACCTTCGTCGTGCAAGATGACCATTGGAGAGCGATCGACGGGCCAGGTTTATAAAAGTTGTTGAGCTCAGGAAGAAGCTCATGGGAATGTCTGGGCAAGTATGGGCATTTGTTTGACTGGCTCAAAAATGATGTTGATGAGGGCATGGCAGGGCTGCAGGATGAAGACAATACTGTGCAATAAGAAGACCGGAGACACTCTTATAAATATAGATATTAAAAAGGGAGTACGGCTTGTGGAAAAAAAAAAGTAAACCGTCTGACCTCCCTGTTTGGAGCCGATTAAATGTAAAAGACAGAAAATGGACGTTGCTGTACAGTAACATCTCACATTTCTTTTAGTAAATGAACTTTGAGTCCAAAGACACATTAAACTCTCAGTGATGTATTTCGGGCACTACTCTGTAAATAGTCACCGTTTTAATACAAAGTTACGTTTAAAGTCCAGTAAATGTGCCAGCTTTGCATTAAAGTGACATTATTTACAAAATAATGCAAACTTGGCAGTTTTAATGGACTTTTAACGCAACCTTTAGAGCAACTTTGCATTAAAAGTGTCATTATTAAACCGAATGATGACAGCAGTCATAGGCATTCAAAAAGTCTCCTTCATGCTCCTGTCAGGTGTTGTGTCATGTTTGACATTGTCATGTCAGTCTTATGCACATCCCTTCAATTTGATTTCGTTGAAAATTATACTACATAATTCCAGTAAAAAAGTATTCTTGATTTTTTTTGTTGCTTTTTTTGTTTTCTTAAGGCCTACGCACTCACGGTGAAGAAAGCCGACTTGACAGGTGCCTGGCAAACCCCGTTTCGTCCTTCTACTCAACTTCCTTTGAATATGATTAGTTGCAGAACTGTGTGAACAGCCAGCTTCTTTAGCTACAACCTTTAGCGGCTTTGGCTTTCCCTACTCGTGGAGGGTGTTAATGACTGTAAAGTCAGCAGCTTCTTCATCATGGTGTGGCCCTTGACATGGCTGTAACATAAATTTTATTTCTAAAGACCTTCTCTTTTTTTCTTATTTTGGTCTCACATAATAGAGAGCCATGATAATGAAAATTGCTAGACAATACTTGAATCCTATCGCTCTGTGTGCAATAAATCTACATGGAATATAGGAAGTCCCCTCTTTTCATTGAATTCCGGGAATAGCGGTTTTGATTTTCTGGGACGCACCTTCATGTCACAAGGCCGGGGATTAATTGGACGGACAGTCAGACATTTGGACAGATCGCTCGCTCCTGTTTCCCAATGCGACCGCAGTGTTGTGTCATTTCTGCGAGGTGTTATGTCTGCTGGGTGTAGCGCAATCCCCCCCCCCCCCTCTCCCCAGCTCGTGTGGATGCGCTACAGTATTTACCAATATTGAAATAGCTTGGGATGAAGTGAGTATTAAATCAGGAATGTGCTTGTGGCAGATCTCCACCCTTGATAATATGGGGTGTTTTTTTTTTCCCAAGTGGTTTTGCCCACTTGTTTTTCCCACTATGTTTTTTTTTTCTCCCTGCGCAATGCTCTTTCACTCTTCCAGTAAAACAGTGCATATGCATGTGTGTGTGTGTGTGTGTGTGTGCGTGCGTGCGTATGTGTTTTTCAAGGCAGCTTGTTTTTATTCCGGTTGCTGTCTGCGTTTGTCATTATGCTATCTTTACAAGTCTCGGGTTGTAAGCTGGAATGTAAAGTCACACATGTCCAAAGAACACAATAAAATCTGCGGGTTTCACTTCCTATGTACAGGCTCTTGGCTATGCAGTGCGCATTTATCTTGCTTATTCACATAGTTAGGCGCGCTATAAAAAATGGCTAACTTCCCCCGGCCTGTTGTGGTAAAT